ATGGATTCAGAGGAAACAGAGTTCAGAGTATCTTTCTGAATGTTTCAGAATGTTTTTTCTCCCCTGTATATCACAAGAGTTTTCCAACCTGAAATATCCAACCAAGCCAATCTACTCATGCTCCTTCTGCCTCAGGAGAAATTTTTAGGGAGCCACACAAAGGAGAAAACCAAATGTCCCAGTTCTACTCCCAAGCTACCCCTCCACTATGGAGAAATCTCTGTGCAACAGATCAGCCAAACCAGACATTTCATTTCAGCAAGGAATTATGTTTCAAATTGCCTGGGTATCAAATTAGCACAGCCCTTTCAGTGTCAGGGAAAGGAAAGCCCTGAGCAGTTCACTGGGACACAAGGAAGTTCCCATGAAAACTCAACAGGTTTAATGAAACAGAGGTCAGAAACCACCTTCAAGAGCTGAGCCACAGGTGCTGTCACACAGTTTGTGTGACAAGGGACTCACACCATGCCTTCAACCCCAGCTCAGACAACACATCCAATTATCTGGAGCACATATCCATCCACAGGCACATCAAAAATCATGGAATGGTGTGGGTTGGAAGAGACCCCAAATCCCAGCTCATCCCAGCCCTGCCATGGGCAGGGACACCTTCCACTGTCCCAGGTTGCTCCACCCTGGCCTTGGACATTTCCAGGGATGGGGCAAAATGTCTGTCCTAAGGAGTTAAGCACTACTTAGACAGGATTTCCCTCTGGAAGAACAAACACCAGGGCTGCCTTTGCTTCCAGGACCTTTTCAGAGGCTCTTGCCCTAACTTTCAGGCAAGCTCTGGCCACAGTGCCTGTCAGCAGCACCCAGCATTGTCAAACGTGCTCAGATCCAGCTGCTCCCAGGGCAGGAAGCAGCCTGGCTGGAGGAGCTGTGCCCCACGAGGGCAGCTGCCAGAATTACCTCCTGCCTCTGCTGAATCCAGCTCCCTGTGAAGAGCTCACATGGTCACACTGCCAAAAGGCATAACTGAGCAGAAACCCCAGTCCCAGCCCTGTTGTACTGACTATTCTTCACCAACTCCAAGTGAAAAATTCCCCACATTCAACAAGACCATCCCCGCAGAGTTCTATTGTCTCCAATTATTAATTAAACATGCTCTGAGAGAAAGCAAATGCCTAAAATCATTTGCTTCTACCAAGCAACTCCCACACTACCCGAGTGCAATTCCGACAGTCTAAGTATATCCAATGACTGCAATTCCAGAGGGGCACCACCACAGAACTCTGCCTTCACTCCAGTTCAAGCACACACATGAGCCACAGGAGACCCCAGCCAAGAAAGCCCAGCCAATTTTCCTGAAAACCTGCTCAGTGTTGATAACTTGTCCCAGCTGAATATCCCGAGTGTCTTTTCACTGCCCCCAGGAGCAGCAGAGGCTGTTTGGGTTTGTGAGGAGGTCTGTGCAACCTTTCATAACCAAGGCAGACCCAACCCTGGCCATTCCTCACCTGGAGCCATCCTGTGCCCTCCCTAGGTGATGTCCTGATGCCTGCCCGTGGTTTTTGCAGGATAAACAGCACACAAAACACCCTCCTGCAGCCAGGGTAATGCTCTGCCCAACAGCAACCAGGCATCAGACAGCCTAAACCTGCTCACTCGAATATCAAAATTACTGGGGACCTTGACACTCAACCTCATCCTGCTGCTTCCTGTGGATAAAAAGAGAAAAATTTCCAGTTTAGCGTCTTCCATGGAAGTTTGTTGATTAAGGATTTGGAGCTGCAAACAGCTGGGATTTTGCTCAGGAGATCCGAGAGACCAAGTCAGGAAATCAAAAGTCTGATTCCAGCACCACTTCAATGCCTGCAGGGACAACGAAGACCTTTAATCAGCACAAGTTTTTTGTGCGGATGGCGAAGCTTTGACACCTAAATTTCTGAAATGACAGGGGCATCTTTAATTGCTTCATTTTATATAAAAACCTGTCCCCAAACACACCTTCCAGAGAAGCAGGGGAAAATGCAACAGGAGAAGAAAGTTTCTAAACAAAACACAGGCATAGCATCTTCCTGCTGCTCACAAGGAGAGGACACCACCAGGAAGGAGCTTCTCCTCCCTTCCCTGGAAGGAACTTTCCCTTAAGCCACCCCTGCTAAAGCCACTCTCAGCTCAATTCCCAGTGCTGCCAGGAGGAAAAGTGACCAGGAGGAATAGCACAATGAAACCCATGGAAAATCAAGATACCGAGCTCAGTTGTGACTCACAGCACTCCTGGCTGTTTAATACCACCATGAAATGTCATCATTTGGTAAAAGCCACTGCAGTGTTATCACCAACAGACACACGTCTGTCTACACACGCAACAAAAAGCATCTGGGATTCAACAATTAAAATCTTTCTACCTTTTAATTACGACCTCCCAAGCTCTAGGCAGACATTAACCTATATTAGCCTAGAATTATTTTTTTTCTGACTTCCCATTATCATTTAGCTACTGAGTTTCCTAACCAGTCTTCAAGGCTGGGCCCTCACTGAACCATCTCTGAAAGTCTAAAATGAAAAGTACAGTAATAAAAGTGCATCCATAAGAAACAGAGTCAGGAGACATCCCTAATGATTCCCTACCTCCCTGCACGTCCCAGCACTTCCTTCCACTTCTGTTCTTGCAGGCCAAATTCAATTCTATCCCAGCTAAACTCAAACTGAATTAAATAATTTTGTACGCTTAAGATTAGTCCTTGCTCCAAGGAATTTATAATTTAAGCAGCAGATGTGGAGGTGGCCAAGAAGTCAAAAAGAATGGCAGTGTTAGGATTACACACATCCTGCATTCTGCTTCCCAGGAGTAAAACCCTGAGGCAAGCAGAGAACCATGGAAAAAGAGGGATGGAGCACCAAACTCTGCTAAAAGTGCCCATCCATCACTGGAGCACCCAGCATCAAACAAGACTGAGGAGAACAGGGCAAGTGCCCCACCTCAGAGCCGACCTGGAAGAAATTAAGACACAAAGATTGGTTTGGAGATGAGCATTGAATGCAAAAGCACTGGAACTATGGCAGTACCCATTTATCAGAGTGTAACAGCCAACAGGAAGCAGAACAGATTAAAAACCCCAACGTTAATCCTGGCCTGGTGGATATTTCCTGAGCCTCAGCTCACAGAACTCACAGGGGAAACTGAGAGAGCATCACACAGAATCATCTGTGAGCTCCGTCCTGCAGGTGTGATCTGTCCACACAACCTTCTCACCACTGTCCTGCTGCCAGACAACACAGGAACTGGGTTTGAAAAGTTCATTTAAACTAGCATAAGTTAATGAGCTTTCCTTTCATTAACTGGTTTATTTATTAGGATAATTTAATTCCAGAGGTTACTGAAGAAAATCAAGCTGAGCAACACTTCTGCTGACAACAGGACAAGCCTCTGGAACAGGCAGGATTTTTTTGTGTGAGTGAAAGTTTAAGTCTTTCCATTATTAAATAAATAAAAGTTCAAATACCAGCAGAGCTTTTAATGACTGTGAGCTTGGAGTGCCCTGTCCCCAGCCCCCTTATCTCCAGTGAGTTTTGTTGTCTTTCAGGGACTTGCAGTAAAAGGAGGATGAAAGTGCAAGCTGGAGGAATAGAGGATTGAGAATTTATGACATCATTTTAATTCATGAAGTCATCTTGCCACAAAATGCCCAAACAATAGCAAGTCCTGCCCAGGCATCTCCACCCCAAGACTCCGTGGCTGCTTTGATTTGAAAAACCTACAAGTCTGCAGGAAGAAATTCTTGCTTATGGTTTCTTTCAGAACTTAAAACATTAAGATCTCTGGCACTGATGTCTCTTGAAGCAAGTTTTACAGTTAGTGACTGAATACTTGGATAATAAACAGAAAAAATACATCTGATTAATGCAGTTATTTCTTCTGAATTGATACCTAAATACTACACTTCTCCATAATGGAATAACAATAGTATTTTTCTAGCTCTTTAGCTCATATTGCAGTATTTTATGTGATTTTTCTTCCAGAACAAATTAACAGGGCACTTGGGTTTATTTCATTATTGATACACACACTGCCTTCGGTGAGGCTGCAAAATTCCCTGCAATGTTTGCTTTTAAATCTGGTTGGCAACACATCCCCTGGGGAGGCACAGCAGAGGAGCCAGGGCTTGGCCGCTTTGATTCCAGAAACTGGAGGCAGGAGATGTTCACAAAGGTTGCAAAAGCTTTGTGTCTGCTGCCCTGGCAATATTCGTGGGGATCATTCTGCTTTAAAATGTGCTTACACTTGGGTTCTGCTGCCTCGGAGAGGAAGCACTCGTGTGTCTTTGATGAGTGAGCTACAGGTCACAGACAGAGTGGAGTGAGTCAGCCACTCATTTAACTGCAGCACGAGTGACAATGCAACTGCTGAAAAGACTTCTAGTAAACACCACTAGCACACAGCCTGGCCCACCACCCCTCTAGAGACTGAGTGCCTCTTAAGAAGTTCCTAAAACACTGGTTGGTGACACTCTTAAGGCTGCTCTTCTCAGTTCAGTTACACACATCATCACCACCTTCCCCAGTACATGATAACCATAAAAACACAACCCCAAAGCAAAGAAATCCAGTCAAACATACCACCAGCAACTTCCACTCCTGTGTTTTCCAATATTGGGAATGGTGAAAGCCCAACCTACATGCATTGGCAGTTTTGTAATACCATTACATAAGAATTATTTAACTACGGCAACAGATCTGAAAAGCAGCAGCAGCAGTCACGGCTATGCTGGTTCACACATCAGAAAAAAAAAATCAATAAAGGGAGTGACGAATTTTGTAAACATGCAATTGACTGTCACAGGGAGTAGATTGGGATTTGAGGTTTCAATATGCTCAAGAGCAGAAACCTTTCAGCTCAGAGCTACTAGGGCACCGCCAGCCTGAAAAGAGAAAACAAACAGCACCACTGCTGCCACTCCACCAGAACCAGCTCCAGCTTTAGAAGAGCACGATGAAAACATCTCTGAGAAGGCTGCAGGGCCGAGTTGGGAAAGCTGGGAGTGGCTTTCTACCTGATGCTCCGCATGGATGTTGTCCCCAGTAGGCCAGCGGTGTTTGCTGTTGTTGTAGCCACCGCCGCCGCTGCCTCCTCCCCCGAGCTGCTCCCCGTGCTGCCTCTGGAAGAAATAATCCACCATGGCGTCGTCCTGGGAGCGCCCCGCCACTCCTATGGATCCGGGCACGGGGCTGGAGTGTGTCCCTGCTGCAAGGGCCTGGTTTGCAGCTGGCTGTGGCTGAGCCTGCGAGCCTGTGCCAGATGTCAGTACCACAGGCATGGTGGGGTTGGCTGTGTCTTGGGCGTGCTGCTTCAGGTGGGGGCTGAACGAGTCCTGCCACAGAACTGCTTTTCTCTTCAAAACGCACGCTACGCTCATTCCACCAACACCTGCAGGGGGGACATGGGGAAAGAGAGGGGAAAGACACATGAAATCCTCCCAGCTGAAGCTTGGAGCGTTAAATAACACACCCATCTTGTGACTGGCAGGGGAACATCGCTGTGGCAAAAGTGACTTCTCCAACACTCACTCACTCTATGAACCCAGCAGCTAAAACAGCACTGAAAACGCACAGAAATCCCACTGAAAACGCACAGAAATCCCACTGAAAACGCACTGAAAACCCACTGAAAACCCACTTTCTGTGCTGCACGGGCTTAGCAGGATGCACAGGATGCCCATGAAGCACCAGCACAATGGCAATTCCTGCCAGGGACAACAGACTGACTGGAAAACTGCTGGGAAAAAGCCCCCAAAAAACCCATGGAAGGCAGTGACACCAGAACCTGCTGTGTCCATTTACACCAGGCAAAAGAGACCTGGTCTGCCATCCATACAAACACTCAAGGTCCCCTGTATCCCACTGTATCCCAAAGTATTCCCTCAGTCATGTAAAGTAGCAAAGCAACAGTTTGGTCTGGTTTTGTTTTGGTTTTTGTCTTTCAGTGCAAATTTCAAATCCTGATTTCTGCTCAAACAGTTCATGGAGCCCAAACACAGCATGTGCCCTCCCTGCTAACTCGGGAGCTGTGCTCAGGAGGCAGTAAAAGCCATGGACATGCTTTATGGATTCCCTGAAGAAAGCACAGCAAACCTGGGAGCTGGGATCTCAGCAGAACTTTCCAGAGCAGGCACAGCCAGCACTGCTGGTCCCGCTGTCAATGGCACTGGGGGAAATCTGGACAACTCCAACACATTTTCAGTACGCAGAGCACTGACCACCCCAAGAAAATACCCCAATAAATGAAATACTCCATATGTTTTGCATGCATCCAAATTATCTGCAAGCAAGAAGAAAACATGCACATTAAGCTGACAGCAACTCACTAACTTCCTATTCCCCAAATATTTTGATGACATTCCAGCAGCACAAAACCACAAAAGTTTGTTTGTTATTTTAAGGAAGGACTATCAGAGCAATAAAGATGCTACAGGTGTGAACAGCAAAGTGTTTTCCCCCATTATGTAACACTCACACAACAAGCCAAAAGCATTTTTTAAAGGCATGGGATAGTCTGAATTAATCTTTATTAAAAAGATCAACAGCTTATGACTTGAGGTACCTAAATGCAGCCCCAGAGAGAGTTCTGAGGATGAAATTGGGGTGGTGGAGCCCTGGGGAGCTCCTGGCAGGACAGCCCCAGGATGTTTCACTGCTGTACCTTGGTGGCTGCAGAGCTTGGCCCTGCTCCTGCCAGCGCCTCCGAGGGCCTGAAAGGCGCCTCTGTTCCCTCCCTGCTCCTCGTAGTAGCTCTGAACAACACTCTACTACAAACAACTTCCAAGAACAATTTCCTAACGGTGGGGAGACCAAAACAAAAAATCTGAGTGCTATCTTTGATCAAACTTTGTCAGGTTTGCCCCAGGAGTCGAGCATGGGGTTAATGCTGAGATGAAAATGACTCTGAAAACTGCAGAGATCAGGTTGTTTTAATTGCACCTCCAACATAATTTGGTGCTGCACACACACAGCCCCTAGGGCCACTCTGCAGGGCTTTTTATACACTCACAACTTAAATACCAGGGACATCCAACAGGACTCACTCCTCCAGCTTTCAAAGAGTCTGGAAATCACCACCTTCCCCACATACTTGAAAAAACACTGAAAACACGATATGACTAAATCTTGACTGATTTTAAGACTACAATTCAGTTTAATGGCATTTTCCCCTTAATTTCCCTTTAGCAAACAATATCAAAATCCTTCAGTAATACCACATGAAGCACACAAGCACCTTCATGCAAAAAGAAAAAAAAATTAATTAATTAATGGTAAGAAATTAATTTATTATCAAACTGAGGTGTGCAGCAATGAAATCTGAGCATTCCCTTGAAAGGAAGTTACAAGTTATCTCAGGGCAGATTGTAAAAAAAAAAAAAAAAAAATAAAGGAAGATACTATGAATCCCCACCAAAAAATGTCCAGTATCTATAGATTGTGACAAGCCCACTTCCAGTGAGAAACAAGGTACAAAGTCGCACTGCCACAGTCTTTGCTCCTTCAAAAGGCTGCAGACACTAATTTCTGAGTTAATAAAGGTGTTCTCTTAAAAATCAGGAGGGTCCAGAAAATCTCAGTCAGTGGATTAAGGGGAGGCTGCTCCCAGGCGCTTCCTCTTTGGGCTGCTCCAAAACGAGCGGAAAACTTGGCAAAGGCGACATTTTGAAAGGGAGCAAAGGGGAAGGGAGCATTGTGGGTAGTTCAAGTTTAGTTCCAAGCCGTTTTTACGGGAATGCCGCGATCGAGGCAGCAGCGGGACAGCTGAATCCTGTCATTCAAAGCTCCCGAGCGCCGGGAATACGGGCAGTCACCTACACGGGCACTCGCAAAGCCGCAGCTGCTCAGGGCCTCCAGAGCCTCTTGCATTCCCAAACTCTTCCTAAACACAGAGGATCAACTTTTCCCAGGTGAAACGCCGCGTTTGCAAACAAAGGCTGAAATGAAAACACGGCGTGGAAATGAGCTGCTCCGTGTCGTCACTGCAGGCAGAAATACTGCAGATTATCCGACGTTCCACAAACAAAAAACTTCGGAGGAATCTCCCTGCGAGTTTGAAGTACACCGGTGACAACACTGAATAAAGGAGCTTGAATCCACACAGAGCCCGGCTGCACAGCCAGATCCTCCCAGCTCTGGTTCCCTATCACCCTCAAAATCACAGATTATTACAAAATTAACACGGTGTAAAACGCCCGTTTCAAAAAAGTTCAACCCCAAAGCAGAGGAGTTTGGTTTGGGTGGGTTTTTTTTGGAAAGTTCCACTGGAAATGAAAGCAGAGCCATTGTTCGAGAGCTGTGTGGCCTAGCAGAACTTTTAACGTTATCCCTGTGTTTTCCTGAAAACCTGGGGAGCCGCAGCACTGAATTCCTGACCCATCGGATTCCCAAAACCAGCATTAAAACACAAAAGGACCCCCTTTCCCCCACCTCCATCCCTCTTAATAAAGGAAATTCCTTACTCATGATCTGCCTAATAAAACCTCTGCTCCGAACAAAGTTATTAAACATTGACCAAAGCAAACAACAACAACCATAACAACAACAACAACAAAAAATCAGAACATTTCTCAGGCTGGGCCGAGAGGCTCTTAAAATTCCAACTTTGCAGCTCACAAGGGCCGAGGCTGTCGTTACGTGAGCACGAGATAAAAACAAGGGGGGAAAAAAACCCCACACAAACACAAAACCCCCAGGGTCAGCCAGCACATCTGAAAGGATTGTCTGCTTTCACCGTCCCTCCCCTGCCAGCCCCGACCCCCTCCGCTTCCAGGGACCCCCAGAGCCGCCGAACCCCCCCAGAACCGGGGGGAAGGAACCCAACCTCCCCCCGGAGCCCTGGGGCCAACAAAGCGGGGCCTCGGCCGGAGCGACAGAGCCCCCCGGGAGTGAAGCCCCGGGCCAAGGCGGAGCCCCCGGGGCCGAAACCCGAACAGGAGAAGGGGGAGACCCTCCCCAGGAGCAGGGGGAGCCCCCAGGCCGAGGGGCAGCCCGGGCGGGCCGGGCCCGGCGGAAGGCGGCCGAGGGCTGCGACGGGCCCGCGCCCCCCAACAATAACCACCGTCCCCGTTACCGGAGCGCCCGCGGGGCCGCGCTCGGGCCCGGGGGTCCCCCCGCGCCCCCTCCCCGCTAACAATGGGCCCAGGCCGCGGCCCCGGCACGGAGCCGGGCGGGAGCGCCGGCGCAGCGCCCCCGCCGCCGCTCGCCTTCGGGGCGGCCTGGGGCCTCTCCTCCCGAGCCCCCCGCCAATATGCGCCCACGGGCGGGTCCGCGGGGGTCCGCGGCGCGGCGGGGCCGGCCCCGGGCCGGTACTCACGGGCGGAGCGCTCGGATGCAGACGGATGCCGGGCCCCCCCCGGCCGCTCGCCGCTGCCTCTCCCCGGCCGCTCACTCCGACAACATGGCGGCGCGGCGGGGCCGCGGCCGCGCTGCACCACGGGAAGGCGAGGCCGCTCCAGCGCCGCCGGGACGGGGCGGGAGGGAGCGGGACGGGACGGGACGGACCGGACCGGACCGCGATGGACCGGACCGGGATGGACCGGACCGGGATGGGACGGGATGGGACGGGATGGGATGGACCGGGACGGGACGGGACGGGATGGGATGGACCGGGACGGACCGGACCGCGATGGACCGGACCGGGACGGGATGGACCGGGATGGGATGGGATGGACCGGGACGGGATCGACCGGGACGGACCGGACCGCGATGGACCGGACCGGGATGGGGCGGGATGGGATGGGACGGACCGGACCGCACCGCACCGCACCGCGATGGACCGGACCGGGACGGGATGGGATGGACCGGGACGGACCGGACGGGATGGGACGGGATGGACCGGGACGGACCGCGATGGACCGGACCCGACCGGGACATGCCCGGGCTGTGCCCCCACCCTGCCACACCGCCCAGATTGGGGTCAGCCCGCAGCGCCCTCCCAGCGCGGCCCCTGGCCCGGCCGGGGGTGCGGGCACAGCCCCGTCTTCAGCCCCGCGCTGCCGCTGGCACCGCCGCCAGCGCTCGCCGGGCTGGCGGGGATGTGGCTGAGCCCCCCCAGCCTGGGCACCCGGATTTTCCCCTAGTCCGGGCATCCTGGACACTCTGCACCCGCTGCCTGGACATCCCACAGCCCCCCAGCCCCAGCTCCCCTAGCCTGGGCACCCCGAGTCCCCCCAGCCTCGGCACTCCCAGCTTGTGCACACGGAGCCTTTCCAAGCCGGGACACCCCGAGCCCCCCAGGCTGGGCAACCCGCACACCCCAAGCCTCCCAGCCCGTGCACCCCGAGCCCCGCAAGCCTGGGCACCCCGAGTGGTCCCATCCGAACCCCCCAGCCTGGGCATCCTCAGCCCCCAGCCCCTGCTGCCGGAGTCCCCCCGGCCCCGGCACTCCCAGGTGTGCACACTGAGCCCCTCCAGACCGGGACACCCCGAGTCCCCCCAGCCCGGTCCCCCCGAGCCCCCAACAGCGGTGAACCCCCTCGTGTCCCAGAACGGCACCGGGGGCACCGAGCGCCGCTGCGCAGCGGCGCCTCCTCACCCTCCACCAACAGCCACACACAATTTTGGGGTGCTTCTCCCTCCGTGCCTCCCGCTGCCCGCAGAGCCGGGGCTGCGGGGGAACTACAGCCCCCGGCGTGCGGCGCTGGGCGCGGAGCCCGGGCAGGGCAGGGCGGGCGGCGCTGGACGCTGGGAGCGGTAGTTCTGCCCCGCTCCTCCATGTTCCAGGGGCAGCCCGTGGGCAGCGCCTTTGTGCCCCTCCTTTGTGCCCCTCCTTTGTGCCCCTCCTTTGTGCCCCTCCTGCCCTCCTGCCCCGCCGGGCTGCGCTCCCGGCGCCTTCGGGGCAGGCTGAGCGCTCGGTGCGCTCGTGGAATATTTTCTCTCCGCCTTGGCGGGGCACGCAGGAGCCAGGAGGGAAGTGCCGGCGCTGGGGAGAGCTCGGGACGTGCCCTCACTTGCACGGAGAGAGAACCGGCAGCTGTTCCCAAGGGCTCGGGCCGGCCGTGGGGCACCGAGCCCGCGGCACGGGCGGGTGCCGCAGCCGCAGCTCTTGTGGGTTATGAGGGTACAAGAAGTCGCTTCAAGCCCGGGTTCTCGGTCATTAAAACACGTGCAAAGCTGGATCCAGCCGCGCTTCGCATCCATTTTCTGCTCGATGGGCTGCCGGGGTGATTGATGGGTGTTTCCAACACTTCACCGCCTCTCCCAGCGTGTACTCCCTTGTGGGGCAGCAGGACCTCACCCCGAGCCCAAAAACCTGGGCAAACACGGCTTGAGGGGTTTGGTGCTGGGTGCCCCAAGCCGGGCGACAGGGGATGGTCAAGATAAACAGCGAGCAAAGGTTTTCCCTGCTGAGGGTGCGTTTGGAGCTGAGCCTTGTACAGACACCCAGAGGTGGCTTTGGCCAGCAGCAGCCTGGCTTGTGTGACCTGGCCAAGCCCTGCTGGGATAAACTCGGCTCTGCTGGGCTCGGCTCTGCTGTGACACTGGGCACGGACCCGCGTGTGGCTGAGAAGCACACACAGCTCTTCTGGGTCATTCCTGTGGCTCCAGTGTCTTGAACTCCCTGGAGAGGGGAAGGGGCTGGAGGAGGAGTCCTGTAAGGAGCAGCCGAGGAAGCTGGGAAGGGGCTCAGCCTGGAGCAAAGGAGGCTCAGGGGGACCTTGTGGCTCTGCACAGCTCCTGACAGGAGGGGACAGCCGGGGGGTCGGGCTCTGCCCCCAGGGAACAGCATGAGAGGAAATAGAACACAGGTTGTGCCAAGGGAGGTTTGAGTTGGATATCAGGAAAAATTTGGATATCGGGCATTGGCGCAGGTGGTGAAGCCACGACCCCTGAAAGTGTTCAAAAAATGTGTGAATGTGGCATTTGAGGATGTGGTTTGTGGTGAACATGGCAGTACTGGGTTAATGGTTGGACTGGATGATCTTAGAGGTGTTTTCCAACCCAAATATTTCCATCATTCTGTGGGGGCCCATGCAGTGTCCCCAAAATGCCAAAGGTGTGGGCAAGGCCAGCCTATCACGGGGGTGGAAGTGTGAACGGTGGAACTGCGTCATCTGGGCACTGGACCAGCTCAATCTGTCTGCACACCCTTCTCCTCTGCTTCCACCCATCTCCTGGGCACCCTGGGCTGATACAAGGCACCAGCGATGGCTCCTGGCTGGCAAAGATTTGGGCTGCAAAGCCTGAGAAGTCAGGAGTTCTTTCCCACACCACGTCCTCGCTGGGGACAGAGCGCCCTACCCTTCTTCTGGCCACTTTTGGGGTGCTGCCACCCTCAGCTCCCCAGCTGGCTGTCCCTGAGCTGTCCTGCTGGCGGTGGCCCTGAGGTCCCCAGCGGTGCTGCCCCTCTGCTGTGAGGCAGAGATCAGAGCTCTGCCAGGTGGGCTCAGCACACACCCAGGCTGCTTGCTGACACTGGAAACGTGCTTTCTGTTAATTATAGCTGGGATAATTACAGTTATGCTGGTGTAAGGAGAGGGGGAGGGAAGGAGTCCTGCTGGGGATGAAATGTGAGTGGTTCAAACCCGCATTTGCCAGTGAATTTTGATGGATTTAGGGAGAAGTCCTGCAGCTGTGAGGCTGAGGGGGAGGTTAGGTCTCATCTCCAGCATTTCCATCCCTCCCACAGCCTCTCCTGCCTCCCACCACTGCCATCCTCTCTTCTCCCTCAGACCTTGCCCAAGCTCCCAGCTTGCTGCCATCCATGGAAAAGTCTCCCACTGGGAGAACATGCTGCTCCAAAAGCTTCAGAGCCAGAGTGAGAGGAACAGGCAGCGAAATAACTTCCACCTCCACAGGAAAAACCTTCTGGAGGTGGAAATGTCCTTCTGATCCTCCTTGCACCATTGGCCACCAAAAGCTGCCCCAGCTGCCTGGCCCTGGCTGACCCCATAGCTGTCCTGACAGAAGTTATCCTGGCATGCATCTTCATCTGCAGAGGGGAAAAGGGACCTCCAGGGGGTGGGAGGTGTCCTCCCACCTCTGAATGACTCCCTAGAAGGGCCTTTCTCCCTCTGTGCCCCACAGAAAGGGCTTCAATCCACTGAGCATCAAAATTTCACATCCCCAACAAACGGCCAAATCCAGACCCTCCTTCCCTGCTCTGCCCAGACACTGTGCCCGGTGGCACGATGCCCAACACCACAGAATCTTCTCTTTGAAGGAGTCTGAGAGCAAACAAACCCAGCTCTGCTGCTGTGATTCACCCTCCCGGGAGCAGAGCTTCCCACAGCTCCACTAGGGAGACACCTGCACAGGACAGGGGGTTCACCTGGAGAAGAAAACAGCATGGGGGGCTCCTAAAAGTGGCTTCAGTGCTGCCCCAGGGAGGCCTGGCTGGGCCCAGCCTTGGGACATCCAACACTTCTATTTCAATGACAATTTGATGCCTGCAATTAAAAGCTGAATTGAAGGAAAGAGGATCCCCCTCTGTGTAGGGCACCAACATTTCCTTGGCCACCAGAAAAAAAAAAAAACTTAAAAATCCACTGACTGACTCAATTTTTCCCAAGCCAAGCCAAAAACTGCTGAGGTCTTTATGCAGAATATTTTCAGAGTGTGCTGGCTTGACCGAAAAATCCCTGCAGAGCCAAGTGCATCATTGATTTGCATCACTGGGGCAGCATTTCGTCAAAGCCCGGCCTTGAGACACAAAACAACGACCGGCCCTGAGCCAGGCAGCTCCAATGCTGCTCCTGAGCACATCCACTGCTCCACCAGCTGCTCCAGACACCTGAAATCAGGGACCTTCCCAGTGCCACCTTGATGGAAAGGCTTCCTGAGCCGGACCTTCATCAGCAGCGGCCGGGGAAGGTCGCTGGGCTCTGCAGCAGCTCTGAGCCATCAGATAAACCCCTGCCTTCCACCGACACCTTTCGCCCACGGGTTTCTTTCCAGCTCGTGTTGAGACACCCAGAGCAGATGGGTTGGTTTTTTTTTCAGGAGTCCCAGCCAAGTGCCTCAAAGCGGCTGCTGAAATGTTGTGGTTATGGGAAGCTGCAGGGAATTCTGGCTGCGCACCCACCTGGCAACAGCAGGGTCTGAGAGTTTGGTGTTGCTGCAGAGCTGCTTTTTCTTTGTGAAAATACAGCCCCCCAAAATTAAAGTTTTTAAGCAGCTCCCACCCACCAGCTGGGCTTAGGGCTGTGCTGAGCTGTGCGTGGAGTCCCCAGTCCCTGGTGGAAGGACAAAGCTGCTCTGGGGGATGGCCTGAGGCTGCTCAGATCCCACTGTTTCCTCTCCGTGTCCAGGGAAGCTGCTGGCAAAGCCGTGCCCCGTCCCATGGTGAGGAACGAGCCGTGCCACTGCCTCGGCTTCCCAGGGGAACGGGTGCCAGCACAGGATGGGCATGGAGCCACTGGGAGAATCCAGAGGAGGACACCAGGATGGACAGAGAGATGGAGCAGCTCTGC